GTGTTAGATCCCAGAGCAGGGTACAAGAAGGGTCTTGTTTTGCTCCTATGACTGGCAGATCCTATTTCTGTTGTGCACCTTGGCACAAAGCTCACTCCTGGAAAGTTAGACTTCTTTCTTGATCCAGGCATTTCCTTGACATGTGGAGACCTGAGATGTGGAAAGGGATTGCTAAGACCTGGACAGTGAATTTTTCAGTTTAGGAATATTCCAGCCAAACAATTTTTTTGTTGGAAGATGAACTGCTGAAGCCAAAACTATTTCTCAGGGACATAAATTTAAAGTTTTTCCCCACTTCCTAAAATAATTTTTAATTTCAATGGTTTAGTTCATTTTTCCTAAGAAGAGGTTAAAAATGTTAAAAAAATAAAATATTTTCAAATTATCCAATGAAAAATTATGAGTGACCTGCTACCCTTTTTTTCTCGTTTATTTTGCAATATCTTCCTACTCCAGTTTGGGATAAAATTATAAAAGTCACAGAAAGTTTTGCCGTGTGGAAAAACAGATTCCTCCCAGCTGTGACAAACTCAGAGCAGCCTGCAGAGCCCCAGGTGACATGCATGTGGGTGGACGATGTGTTTGAGCTCTTCCTCCAGTTAATACTGGGTGATTTCACAATGGCACCTCTACAAAGCCCACGTAGTACCAAACACCCAGGCTAGATGAGGGCAGTGATAACTCAGGGTTTATCCCTGATGCTCAGCAGTTTTTGGCTGTGACTTTACCTGCAGGTTGCTGGTGGTGGGCTGGGGGCTGCCAGGAGGCAGAGGGACACAGCCAGGACTCAGCAGAGAGAGAAGGGGAGGCTGGAGGGAACAGTAGACACACAATCCCTTGCTGTGAGGGGTAGTGGGAACAGGGACAGTGTCTTCCTCCTGACAGCCAGCTTTAAGGCAGAGCTGGCCTCTCCAAGCTGCCCCCATGCAGGGGCCATCTCCTTGGCAAGTTACCCCGGCTGTAAGGTGAGGCACACTGAACCCCGAAGGGAGGTTGGGGAACCTGCAGCCATGCTCCCAGTCCATGCCACTCTCCAGGGATGTGCCTGTGCTGCACTTGCCTTGGTTTCTGTTTTCCAAACCTGCTCCCTCTGTGCAGAAACTTTCATCCCTGGAGAGCAGGATTGCAGATCTCTAAGTGTCTGGGCAGCACACAGGACCTCCCAGGGCCGCAGGCTGGCACAATCCTCAGTCTACATCTCCCCCAGCAGGACAGACTCAAAAACGTGTGTGGTGTCTGTGGGCACTGCACTGGCTGCCCGGGAGGTGGGGGAGCAGGGTAAGGGGAGAGGGGCAGCCTGTCCGGGTGTACTGCTCCGTTACCTCCTCTTGCAATGGCAGGAGTGGGAGGAGGGCAGCACCAAAGGGTGTTTGCCCAGAGTGGTCAATCTGCAGAGCAGGGCCAATGCAAACCGTCAGTGTCATGGTCTCAAGCTCAGCAGCAGCAGGCATTAGGGTCATGATGAGTGACAGTCACTGAGGAACAGGTGAGCACCCTACGCTGCTGTGACTCAAAGTCAAGGAAGGGAATATGTGAGATGGTGCCATGAGTGGCATGACCTGGCCATACCCAAAAGTCCTCAGGTGCCTCTCCTGGCCAGCCGCTGCCCCAGAGGCAGTCAGGAGAAGAGTCCAGCCAGCCAGGGACACAGGACTGACACAGGGCTCAGGCTCCCTCAGTGACAAACTCAGCACTCGGCTCCAAGCTTCATAAACCATGAGGCTTGATGCCCCTTGTGCTTTCTCCCTTTTCTCCTCTTCACTAGAGCTGAAGAGTTGGGTTCCCATGCCCTCAGCTTTGGCCTGAAGAGCGCTGGGAAGTGTCAGTGAGATGCAGGCATTGCATGAGCCAGGAAACCTGTGCCTTTTCCTGAAAAGTCATACATGAGATGAAGTGTCTGGCCATTGTGGATCTGCACTGACTTACTACAAGAAAAGATCTGGCTGTGTAGGTTATGGTTGTACTGCCCCTTCCCTGACCAGATTGACAGGGGCTGATCTCAGAAGACCCTGGATTTACGTGTGAGCCAAAGTCCTTGGGAAAGGCCCCATCTAGGCCTTTATGGGTGGGCAAACTTGTCTAAGGAGAAGCGAATTTGATCCTCATCCATGCTACATTGCTCTCTGAACAGAAAGCAGGGAGGCTTGTAAACCAAGCATCTGCTCCAGAGTATCTCCAGTGTCTTACAAGGAAGTACCCATGAGCTACCATGGTAGTCCAGCTTTATGAATTTAATATTTATAGGCAGAGAGAGATGGGACATGGCCTGCACCGTGTATAGCCTTGCAATTTATGTGTTGGCAGCAGTGGTTGATGCGAGATGTTCTCTGAGGCTGAAAAGTGTGCTTAAGCTTTGTAAATACAATCAGTTCAGGCTGAAGTGAGTGAACAATGTGGAATGTTTTGAGGCCAAATTTGACTTCAGAAAAAAACACCATTGAGCCAGTGGTACTTCAGTGTGTTGTGAATGCATGCATCTCCAGGGTCGCAGCATGACCTCCTGGCTCAGACAGTAAGGACCCCACTACACTCACTGCAAATTAAAACGTTGCATATGCTCTGAGTGCAAAAAGATTGTACACAGTGCCTGTAAGAAGCCTTCCTGAAAGACTCTTGCCTCTGCTGGTGGTCTTGCAGCTTCGGCACTGGATGTCTGGCTCACGCTCTCTATTTTTCAAAAACATTAATAATCATAATCCATATAAAACTGTCATATTGGTTCAACATGTACGTCACCAAAGCCCTGACTAATTTATCAAAGATTTAGTGTTCAGTTGAACAAAGTCTCATTTTTGTAAGCAGATGCAGTTTGCTGGATTGTCCTGTCATCACCCACTGTTTCCACTGGAAAGATGCATCATATCAGCAACTTCTAAAAGTTAAAAAAAATGTACATTTTAAAATAGTAATGTAAACACTTATTGCATGTTCCATGTTAGTCATGAATTAAATAGAGACCTTAGGGGATAATGCTGCTTGTGCCAAAGTGGGTCTGCAGCCTTACAGCCACCAGTGGACGGTTGTGCAGCAGATCGGTTGCCCATCACAGTGGTGATGGTGCATTGCATAGCAGTCGCACAGCCAGAATTAAGACAACGAGCCACTCAAGGGAGATAAAAATGCTCAAGCAGCGGTGAAAACTGAGATTGTCAGTTCAAAGATGTGGCACACAACACAGCCCTGGCCTGTCTGGATGCCTGCAGGGCTGTTTCCGTGTGTAGTGGCAGCATGTCAGACTTTGGTAGGAATAGTTGAGCACAGGAGATGGGGAAAGGGCTGCAAAGGCAAGTGGAGAAGGCAGTGGTGGGAAGCACACAGCAGAAGGGAAGGTCTGGTGTGGGGCTTTGCTCAGGTAAGGTCTGAGTTTGGATCAAGTGTGGTTCTGCATTTTGTTTCAGAGCCCAGACAGCAGGGTTGGATATGGACACTGTCTGTCCCAGGTGATGCTACATGGGGACAGTTTTATGTCCCACCTGCAAAGTGACATAGGTATCTTTGGGACCTCCTCTCTGGCCAGTGCATCCACCCCATGGGCACCCTACATGGAATCTGTCCTGGCAATGAAACACAGTGTAAAGCAGGACAGACAGATGCAGACCTGCTGTCAGCGGGACACGGCCATGCGGGAATGGTTAGGGCAGGTGGGAATGGACAGTGAGATGGATGGGGATGACAAAGCAGATGGCAAAATCCCTGCTGGTGCAGGGTAGGAAGAGGGGTGTGGGACAGTCCTGGCACATGTAGCGTGGAGGAGATGGTATCGTATACAATGCACTATTCTTACTTCCTTATACAGTAAATTGGTAACTTTTTTGTATTAAATCAGTTTTTATCACTGAATCAATCTTGCACTTTTCTATTCTTGTTCTCTACAAATGACCTTTTTTAGCTCTCCTCAGCTTTTTCCTGATGGGACTCATTAGGAGCTGGTGCTGATTCTTACAGGCATTCACTTTCACTTAGCATCTGGAGATTTGTTTTGGACAACGCTTTGTTGAAATGGTCCTTGCAGCATTCTTCTGCTGTGCTTAGTACCAGCAGCTCCTCCTGGGTAATGTGCCTGCATCCCACAAATACATTTGGCATGAGCTGAGTCTTTCCCCTCCCTGTTTCTAGTGAGATATGAGTGTCATCAAAGAAAGTACCTCCTTGACCAGATGTTTTGTAGAAGCACAACCTGAATTTGTAAAATTTCCTGAGAGTTTTCCTGATATATTTTGACCATAAACCTCACATAAACCTCGGAGTAGAACAATGTGGTAAACAAAAAACCAGCTCCTCTCATCATTCAAAAACTCTCAGAAAATTTTACCTAACCTGATTGAATAAAGGTTTTAACTCTACCATGTGTGCTAACCACAACTTTGATATCAAAGAATAGTTTTTGCATGCCTATTTTACTTTGCAGGATGTTTGTACACTTCCTGGTGTAAAAAGCTAGCTGGTGTTTGCTATTCATCGTTTGCTATCTCTATCATGTAATTAGCAGCCTATTCTGTGTTGTGCAGAATTATTTCTGTCACCCCGTTTGCTCAGCAAACCAGAGCCTTATATAAAGGAAGATTGTTCTCATTTGTAGATCTGTTCTGTATTTCTAAGAGTTCAGGAGCTCTCTCATGTGGTTGCCCCATGACTGTGTTTTTTCATAACACCCCTGGCTTTCTGCAAATATTCTCTGTTTATGGGTGAAAATTCTTCCAGCAAAGCAGCCAAGGATGCAGACGCAGCAGACAAGGTGAATAGAATCAAGCAGGCAATAGGGAATCCTGAAGTCTTCCCCTGCAATGTTTCTAACACAGAACTACAGATAGAGTAATTCATTGACTGTGGTCTGATTGTTTCACAAATGCCAGTCTTTGTTCACTGTTCCAAGGGTTGGTTGGGGACTTCGTCCTTACCTGCTCCTCTTCTCTTCCAGAGGTCACTTTCGTGTCTGCTTCTCTACCTGATCATCCAAAGTGGAGCAGCCAGAATCTGGACCAGTCCCTTCAGGCACGGTGATGAATGGTGTGATCAAACAGGATCGCTCGGACCACAAAAGTGCACCAACTGGAAATGAAGAAGAAAAGGCACCCAAAGAAAAGGCTGCCAGCGAAGTGAGAGATGGCACCAAGCTCCAGCCACCACCCTTTGCGGAGCGGAAAAACGGTAAGTTCCTTGCCCAGCGGTGTCAAGAGAGGGGAAGTGAGACTGGATAAATGCTGGTTTAGCAACTTTCACACGTGCTGGGTTTGCAGCTCATCATTATTTTTATGTGTGGTGCTTTTGAGGGTGTTTCTGATGGCAACATTTTAAGATTTAATGGAAGTGGCTCTTCAGCTTGGTATTTCTGGGTCAGCTTTAAATGCTGTTGTCAGGCTTGAGGCAGTTATAATGTTCTTTGCGATCCAAGTGTTTGGTATAATTTTGGCTGAAATGTGGCATTTCAAAGTCTCAGGAAGAGACTGGTGTTCTGACAGTGGTAATGGGATTTGCTGGGGAATTAGGGTGATGTGACGCTGATCAGTGGAGAAGAAATGGAGAGGGTATTTTGTTTGCAAAGGCACTGATAGATCTGTTCTGCTCTCACAGGGCACTGGATGCTTCAGATAACCTTGTCTTCAGCAAAATTGCTTCAGATCAATGTAACAGAGAGCAGAATTTGTCCCAGGCCTCTGCAAGGGTCATTTGTGTTTCCTTGGTCATGGGTCCAGAATCTAGTCTTGCTGGTATATATTGATCCGAGTTTCAGTGGAGATCCATTGGTAGAAAGCTGGTGGACAGAAAACCCCACAATTCAGCCCGTGCAAAGCATGCGCAAGCCGAGGAGTTGTTTGCCACTTCTTTCAGGCAACTGTATAATATATGAAATGAAGAAAATTCCTTTTGTGCACTCTAAGGCTTTCAACATTAAGTCCTCAAAATATCATGCAATGTGAAAGTGCAGCTCGAAGGCACTATTTTTGCTTTGTGTCTTTGATTGTTTGCATTATTGTACGGGACTCAATTTTTCTCAATCACTATAAATCAGAAATAATCCAAATGATGTCATCGTGGCAATGTACTGGTGTCAGACTGGAGTAACACAGCAAAGAACCAGGCCCAGAGTCTGCCCATAGTCACACTAAGGCACACCAGCGAGGGCACTTCTTTTCTACAGTCCCAGATATCAAAGTATACCTAAGATAATATGATAATAATGGGAAAGATGACATGGAATTGTAAAGGGGCAGACTGTTTGGTGATGTAAAAAATCACATTTTTTCTCTAGCTTTCACATCCTTATTTTTTGTATCCATTTTCCCATATGGTTTTTGTTATGGGAAGGCAAAGAAAGAAACATCTCCAGGTGCCCATAGGTAAAAACTGCCTCCCAGCATGACCAGCAGACATGCAGATACTGACTGCATTAAGCCCTGCAGCACTGCAAGCATCTCCCTTGCAGCTGACCCTGTGTCAGTGGCTCATGCCCCCCAGGGCTGTCGGCTTGGTGGCCCACCGGGATGTGGCTCTACCCCTGCAGCCCCTCTACGTTGGGCTGTTTGCAGAGACTCTAAGTGAGAAGAGCCCCCCACAGTCTGGGCATGCCTCCAGCCCTTTGCTCTCCTCCTTTTGCTGCTTTTCCCTTTCTTTCGCACATTTAGACAGCGTAGGGGCTCGGCTTTTCCTGCCATCCCCATTTGGCAACAGCCGTCTCCCTTCATCTCACATCATCTTAGGAGCTGGCGGGCCCACCAAGTGTCACGCATGTCGTGTGGCACTCAGGCCTGCCTTTGATGTCACGTTCTCTGGTGTGACAGCTCCTGCAGGGCTGGTGGAGCAGCCTGATGAGTGCCTGGGGAGCAAAGAGGGAGGGGGACATCCCGTGGCCGCACAGACTGCCCTCCACAGCAGTCCACAGCAGTCACCTCCCTTTGCCCTGCAGGACACTGCAGAACCCTGAAGCAGATTTTTCCCTGCCAAGGGCAGAGCTTCCCTGTCCCACTCAGTGCCATTTGCTGGGTTGTCACCCAAGTTCTACCCCATCTCCCCATCACTGGGTGGAGGGTCAGTAGTTGGGATTGCCATGGGGAAAAAGCAAGATGTCAGTGTCTCCTCATATTCCACCCCCATGAAGGGCACCTGTACGGGTGTATTCACCACTCCCACCCTTATCCCTCACCCCACAAATACATGGGTGATATCAGCAGGAGGGAGCAGGGACTCACCATCCAAGATTATGCCACTGAAGGAGGCAATGCCTGGGAATGAGTTGGGTGAACGGGATGAAACTCCCATCTGTTGTCTTTAGGGATCTGCCAGGGCATGTAAGGTGAAGCAAGTGCAAGGTGTGTGACCCCCTCCTCCTCCTCCTGCCCTGTTGCATCCCATCTCCTGAGGGTGCAGGCTGTGCACACCTCAGCCAGGCAGGATCTGGCTCTTTCCAGCTGCAGGCTAGTGATCCGTGGTTCGGTGGGTGTTGGACAGATACCCGTCTGTCAAGGGCACAGCTCCTCAGAGAGGACTAGTTCCTGCTCGAGTCTGAACTTTCAAACTGCAGTCTTTATTTGACTTAACTTTGATTTAATAAAAACAGTCTAGCTAGAATATTTTTAAATAGGAAAATAGTCTTTTTAACTCTAGTATTACTCAAAAATGGCTAAGGGGATTTCATTTAAATTTGTAAAAATAAATCACCTTTGAGCAAGCAGAAAGCCCATTCGGCAGGACCTACAAAAACCCAGGACTGGATGCATAGGTCCAGGAGAATGGAGACTGTTACCTCTACAAAGAGGAGGAATCCTGACATCTGCCTGCTCAGCTGTACCCCAACCCCTGGCCCTTTTCTGCCGCTGGGATGGTACACTGTCAGACTGCCCCTTTACCATGACTGTGCCTAATCCCACAGCTCATGGTATTTATATGCTCGATGACATCTTCTCCTCCTAAGTTCTGGTCCACATTGTCCTGAACTGGACAGAGCTGTGAACTGTTGCCTTGGAAGAGCCTAAGGCAGACATGGCTATGGATCTTCCTGAAGTCACTAGTGATACTGGGTTTAGAGAGGAGATCTGCCTAGACCTCCCACCCTACCCATTGTGCATGCACCATGGCTGGGTACTGGACCCATGGGCTCTTGCTCTTCTGTCTTGCCAGAGACAGGCACTTTGAGCTCAACATGGTGACTTCATCTTCTCAATCAATGCTCTACCCATTTCACCTGTCCATGTAATAAGACTGTTGAGTCGCAAGGTCAATGCATGGCATCTCTCAGAGTGAGGACACACAATGTTCTACCCACAGCTCTGTTCTTCCCAGAGTTGGTTTGGTTGCACGCAAAGGCAGGTACAAACAGCAATAAGATAATTCATGATGCAGTAGGCACATGGGCCCCTGCAGGGCACTGGGATCCCCAGCAGCCACCTCCCTAGGATGCTGGAGCGTTCAGCCTGGGGACAATGAGGGACAGTGTCTACACTGCACAGTGTGAACCGGAGCCCCATTGTGTAGGTACCAAAGGTCATCACACCCTGAGCCAGAGGTGCTTAGTGTGTGCATCCTTTACAGGCTCAGTCATCCACAGGCTCAGTGCTCTCTGACCCCCAGTTTGGGGTAAGAGAGGGGTCTACAGGGCAACCCCTTCCACATGGGGTCTAATTGCTGGGGCAAGGAAAACAAACATGCTCTCTTCAACACCTTGTGTCTTTGTAATAAACTGAGTTGCCTGCTCATTGGATAGGAGTTCCTGACAGCACCTTAAGCATCCTTAGGATCCATAAGCTACTTTTCTCTCCCAGATCCATCTGAAACCCTCTCAGGGTTTCACCAGGCCTACCAGGGACTCCAAAGCATCAATGCTCCCAGGATCATTTTCTTCAGCTGGTAACAGCTTCCATCCCATCCCATCCCATTCAATCCCACCTCACCCCATCCTGCACACCTGTACTTTATCTGTGGCAGCTGTACCATAGGAACAGCTGTACAACATTTTGCTTGTCTTCTCTGGCTTGCATCAAGACTGCCCTTACCCTGCTCATTCCCTATGTCACTGAAGATAATGATTTCTCTGCACACCCTCCCAGCAGTGGGGAAGGCAGTGAGGATGCAGGCTCTGTGGATGACTTTGCCATGCATCTCTCCCAGTGCCAATTTGGCCAGGTGGATTTCAGAAAGAATTTCATGATAACACTTACAGTCACAAGAAAAGGGGTCAGAGGACATGCAGGAGCTACTTACTGTCAAACAGCTCCTCAAAAACTGTCTCAGTATGTGTACTCAGTGTGTGAGGAGTTAGGCATCCTCTGGTACAGTCCAGAGATAGCGAAGTCCCTGGCTCAGAGCTACTGTCCCTTTTTCCCTGCCCTAGGACTCTGAGAGTGAGAGGTATTTCATTTATGGAGTTATCCAAGTGTGAGACATCCTGTCTTATGTGATGAGGTTTCTCTGCCTCAGAAACTCTGCTCAGGATGGGCTCTGTCCCTTCTGGAGGGTCCCATTTCTCTCCAGTGACTATCAGAGTTTAGATAACCAGCTCTGACCAAAACAGCCTTTAGAGAAGAGATTCATTTTACCCATTTGTCTCCACATACGTGTCTCCAAGTTTGGGTGTCAGAGCTCCCACTGCAGGTGATGGATCTAGTCTGCAGGCACATGGCCAGAGGCCTCTAACTGACTACTACAGTTAAGAGAGCTGAAGCGTTCCCCTTGTGCCTGCTCTGATTCAGCAGCACGTTTGCTAACTGCTCATAATGTTTTCACATAGGTTTCCCATTGCTGATTTTGGAAAATAATGTAGTTAAACTCTTCTGTTTATTTGTGTAGTGAAATAGACCTTCTGACCACCAGCTCCTTTAGGCCCCTGCAACAAAGGGGAGGATTTTCAAGTGCCCATCTGGTTTGTGTTTAATGTAATGTGCAGAAAGGTTGCACATTTTCAGGGCCTGTGTTCATAAGTAGCAGATTGTACAACAGTTTATTACACAAATGGAGCTTTTTATTGCTGGGCTTTGTTGAGCTGCCAGTTGGGATAAAAAAAAAGTAATGTGCTTCATAGTACCTATCAAGGAAAATTAGAAAGAATTAAATTCTGCTCAAACTATCAGCCATTGGTGAGCTGGTAATCAAATCCAGAAAGGCTGGTGAGAGGTCAAGACTTTCTTGCTCTTGGTGTTTCTGAATCAATAACTACT